ATAGAAATTCATAGAACTTTCTACCGAAATCTGCATAAAAGTCAAGAAAGAACCAAGATTTTTCAGGAAAAAAGAACCATTTTTCGCGTGAACTGAAATTCGTGCATAGTTCCAATCTTTTTTTCGAATTTTCCCTTGTCGGTGAGTCATCTCGTCTTTCGCGAATCTTCCAACGCTCCTTTTCGTTTCTGCGTCCGAAAACGGGGCCAATTAGAGATCGCGATGCCGCGCATCGTTTACCAACGACAGATTAATCGTACCTCGACGCGTTATTGTTTCGCCAGCGAAGCGTCGACGGTGATTTTAGAGGGACGTGGTGGATCGTTGGAGAGGGCGAGAAGTGTGTCGTTAGATCGGTGGGAAGTAAACTCGCCGAGGCGGGGAAAAACGGCGCGTTTCGAAACGGCGCGGCAAGTGGTTCACGGTAAACGAAGCATTTTGCCGACTCATCGAACGTCTCGTATCGAATCGAGCCGAGGGTGTTGCTTAAAAATCGCATCGGACGCGCTGGTCGGGTCGTTCGCGCGTGAAGGTTCGTGGAAAAATCCGATGCTCGTTTGCGGGACTAGCTCGTTGAAAAGACGATTTCGTGGATGATGGCGAGCAGCAATGTGTTGGTTGTCTGCGTATTTTGTACGAGTTTTGCGCGTCTTTCTCCGTACAGCCTCGTTCAAAAGTCTTGGAACAAGAATTAAACGAATTTGTAAAGTGTGCGTTAATCTACAGTTGTACTAAATATAGTTAAAGTACGAAATTTGTCCAAAGTCTCTTTTTTTCTAGAAATTGTTTATTACACTGAGAGATCTAAAAATGTAATCTATATGTGTCTCTGCGCATGCGTTTGAAATAGCAATAAAGACAACGCACTACGTTATCTCAGTGTTGATAATATATTTCGTAAATATTATACGAACCTAATAACAAACATTGTATGAAATATTATATAACATTGCTAATTAATACGTGAGCCTCATTTTTGTCAAAAAAAGTATGCACCAACTTTGGCTCTCGCTTTGACCATAAAGCGTCCACCACGACGCATACCAAATATTAAAAATAAAAAAAAGTGTCGCAAGACTTTCGAGCAGGAGTAGTGTATGTGAACGTGCGTGTCTGTAAAAAGAGAAAGAGAGAAGAAGTGCGTAAGCTGGCGAGTGCGTGCACGCACAGAGAGCCAGGAGAGAGCACCTGGGCATCTATGCGTCATTGTGGACGATAAAAAAAGCCGTAAGGCTGGCATAACGCAAGGAGAGAACGTCGACAAAACAGCGAGACGCAAGAGACTAGTAAAGCTGGTTTGTCTTTTCCCTCTTCTCTACGTGCGCCACAATAGCGCAATCTCGCACCGTGCCGCTCTCTTTCGGGATTCCGTTGTTCGGTCCGTTCGCCGATCTGCTTCGCTGAGAAAACATTCGCCCGCGAGGTATATTTTAGAAGGCCAGCCGTGAAAACACGTTGCGTGCGAACGTATCTCTCTCTGTTTCGCGAAAATATTTTGAAAAACCAGGAGATCAAGTGTCGGCGAGAGGGAGCGCGGGAAACTCTCAAATAGTATCGAGCCAACTCTCAAATAGCTGTTGAGTCACAGACGATAGATATTTCTTTCACGACACAAGTTGAAAAATATTTCGCAACCAAGCGATTCAACTCTCAGTTGTCACACGATTGCGCAGTCAACCCTCAAATACTATCATCGGGTAGATGATGGTGACAATTTACCAAATTAAAAGTATCCACGATGGAGACGCGAGAGGTTCTAATGGCAAAACGGACCAACGATACTGGCTGAGAGTTGAAGAGACGCGTTAAACGCTTGTGTAAATCGTCCGTGCTATCCGCCGAGATCTCAAAAGAACGAAATACGAAAGAAAGAAAAAGAAAAGGAAAAGAAAAAAAAAAAGGCTGGCTATCCTTCTAGCGAGGACAGATTCGATGAGTTCGTAGGCGAGCGTCGCGGCGAGAAGCCTTCAAGGCTCCTGGATCGCGGTCCCAAACTCACGTTCAAGGATCGGCTTTGTACAGAGGAATTTTTATTGGTACGACGCTTGGCGCGATCGCATAATATACTCGCGGCTCGAGAGTGAATTTTTCTTTTTCTCTCTTTTTTTTTTTCAGAAGCCAAGAAACACGAGAAAGATATATATATATATAGAGAAAGAGAGCGAGAGAGAGAGAGAGAAAACGAGATACGCTTTTTTTATTCTTCTTTTTTTTCATCACGTTTTCACCTCCTCTCTCTCTCTCTCTCCCTCTCTCTCTCTCTCTCTCTTTTTCTAGATACTTCATCCCCCTCTTGATCTTTCTCCGCTCTCGTCACCCTCGCGCGCGTTTTCCTTCTTCTTTCCCCGCAGCTCGGTTCGGTATCGCGAGATCTATTTATACCTAGTCGGTCGGTGTTTTCAACTTGCAACGCGGCATCGTGTAACAAACGCGCGTCGCTCGTAAAAATAGGGGATCTGCACGATACGTTGCACGTCCTAGAGTGAAACAGCAAGGGGCAAAGAGAGATAGAAATAGAGAGAGAGTGAGAGTGAGAGAGAGAGAGAGCGACGAAGACGGATGAAGGGAGAGGAGGAACGAGAAAGAACGAGAGAATTCGTGAAGCATCCGGAGAGAGTCCGTGCGTAGGGTCGAAACGACATCGTGAGAGCGCACCTCCGACCAACAAACGATGTTGCATCGAAAGATCGAGTAGAAGCGGTAAACGAAACGGGAGGAGGAGGACTGAGATTGGAAATCGCGGTTTTTGAACGTGTAGCGAAATATCCATGTGTGCACACGTGGCAGGTGAAACGTGTATTTTAAGGAATTAAACATGCGTGGTATATTGTGTACATATATATAAGTATTACACGTTATATCGCATAATATACGTTTCTCTATATATTATAATATAGTCTTATAATACAGTCGTCAATACACACATCTTTCAATCTAGAAAATGTTGGAGACGGTGATATTTAATTTGAAGCTGCAATTAATCTACTGCTTCTAAATTCTGATGAAATTCTGACTACAAAGGATTTAGTTGCAGCTAATTACTCAAATTGAGAATCTGATAATTCGTAATCGTAATAGATCATTCGTTTGGTGCTTTTATAACAACGTTTCAAACGATTTTATCTAATTTCGGTATCCAATCTATTTTATCTAATTTTGGTTTTCAATCTTACATCAGGCGATAATGTGCGTACATAAATGTATATAAATAGGAGTGGATATATATATATTTCATCTAAATACGTCAATCACAGATCCCAGAAGGGTTTTATGTACGCTGCACGAGTCTTAGATCGATCGAGATTATATCTGTTTTTAACCTTGTATAAATTTCAACAACTGGAAACTGTCATTCATGCAACTCAAACGACGTTTCAGTTTCGGTTTGGAACTGAAGGAACAAGATTCGATTGTCGTGAGAATGGTAATAAAAGTATGAATCTTCAAACATTAAATCGCGAAAAAAGGGGGGGGATCTCTGATCGATTCAATGGGCCCGAGTAAAAACGGAGTCACGACCAAATCGGAGTTTCGCTCCGGACTCTCTGAATCAGCGGTGACCTTGCACGGAGAAGCACGGTCCAGATTTCCTAGTTACGGATCATTTTCATCCGTTTATCCTAATATACGTCGTGGTAGAAACAATCGTGCAACGAGCGTGCAATAAAAGCGAATGATCGCGGTGATGGCGCGCGACGAACTCCAGGCTTTAATTGAATCTCGCCAACGCAACGGGTTGGCGATTGCTTTCTGCTCGCGCGCGCACGGTAAAAAGAGAGAGAGAGAGAGAGAGAGAGAGAGAGAGAGAGAGAGAAAGAGAGAGAGTTTCGTATTACGAGACGTGGAATTTTTCGTGAATGAACGCCGGAGAAAAAGAGAGGAAAGGAAAACGAGCAGAGCAAAGCGAAAAAGAGAGGAGGCGCGCGGCGGGGTGCCAGAGGGAAAAAGAGAGAGAGAGAGAGAGAGAGAGAACGAGAGGGAGAACGGCCGGTACGCAGGAGCGACTAGGAAAACCGGGCAAAAAACACCGGAGAAAACGAGAGTGAACGAGGAGCAGGGTCGGGGGCTTAACGTACGTACACACGGTACTACTCTCGTAACACGCGGCCCGGAGCGGCGCGCGCGACAAAAGGATCGAGGCGCTCGCAGACGGATTACGTCATTTCCCAGGCAACCTCTAACGTCTGGCATTATATTCGTCTAGCGATCGTCTAGCCAACACGGCGATCCCACCGTGCCACGGACAAACACACGCGCTTGCTGCTAACTAGCGCCGCTACACGCGCCTCACGCCTATCTACCTTTCACGGTCGCGCGTTACTCTTTACACGCCGGTATCCTACACACCGGTAGTACGTGCTATATACACCGGCCCGTAGTAGTACGTATCCGTACGTACTCTACCGCGACCGGTTAACTAGCTGCGCGTATAGACACGCGAAACGGTGTCCGTGAACATCGACGAAATTATGTTTATGACATATGCATGCATATATACGTGTGTGTGTGTGTGTGTGTGTGTGTGTGTATGCTGTCTCCTCTCACTGTATGCGTACGTGTATACATGCAGCGTACACACAAAACACGTCGGAATAAATGCACACGTAACGGACGTATGTAGACACAGGCAACTAAACGATATAATACGCGTATGTGCGTACATTGCGAGTGCAAGTCGAGACGCACACACGCACACGTTCCTTTCTCTCTTGGTTTCTCTCGCTCTCACGGACACACGATCTGTCGTTTCCTCTATGTCACACGCATACACGCATTCTCTCTCTCTCTCTCTCTCTCTCTCTCTCTCTCTCTCTCTCTCTCTCTCTCTCCATCTTTCTCGCTCTTTCACTCGCACGGTCAATCAGTGGGTGTATCTCTGTCATACACGTACACACATACGCACAGTCTCTCGCTCGCGCGTACTATCTATCGGACGCGTCGTCTCTCGCTTTAGAAACCGACAGGCGGCCGAAGGCCACCACTCTCAGCTGTGGACGTACCTTGATCGTTGAACGCAAAGTAAAGTGTGGGGCTCCTTTGCCTGGTGTCCTTGTCGTCGTCGGTGCTAAACCCACCGTTTGACTGTCGGATGCGATGATCGCGACGAGCGGAGCCTTCTTTCGCCGTCCTCCGTTCGCTGTCCTCTCTTCCCTCTACGCGTGTGTGCGTGCGTGCGTGCGTGTGTCGATTTCTCTCTCTCTCTCTCTCTCTCTCTCTCTCTTCGTATGTGTGTATGCGTGTGCTCTTTCCGCCTCTTTCTCTCCTCTCTGGCCGTCTCCGCGAGAGACAATCCACAGATCGGGAAGTCCGCCGAATTCCGCCCGAGATTCCCTAAGCCACGCGATCGTTGCTCGCGGTCTCGTGCTGTCCGCAGGATCTCGAAGACACTCGCTGGTCCATCCTCGTGAAAATCACGCACGACCAACGTGTACACGCGACAACGGGTCTCCTCGTCGTCGTCGTCGTCGTCGTCGTGCAGTTTGTGGTTGTTCGTCGCCGACAACGTGAACACGCGGAGATGAATCTACGCGCGAATCCACACGACTCGTCTGTGTCTTCGATTTTCGCGAACACAATGCTGCTCTCGCTTTCACCGATCGTCGTCTGCTTTTCTTCTCTTTCCTTTCCTGTATTTTTTTTTTTTTTTTTTTTTCTTCTTTTTCCTTTATCGGAAATAAAGCACGTCGTTCGTTCTTGGTTTTTGTCCACAAAAAAGGAAACGATTCTTCTTTTTACACACTTTTTATTTTTACTATTTCCCGTTAACTGGTCGTTTTACGATCTCGGTCTCACTTATCCGCCCTGCCTGCTCGCGTCGAGAAGACGTTCGTCGACGATCGAAGTAGGTTGGCATGTATCGATGTACACGCGGCCTGTCACTCGCGCTCCAAAGGATCAAAAGGGGGTCGAAGAAGACACGGTGGGTCCGCGAAGCAGCAGCGATCGTCGTGGCTTAATCGCGCGTACGGCGCGTGTAACACACCACGAGGCAGCAGGACGATCCTTCGATGCCTCGGTAGATTTTTCCTTTCTCTCCGTTTGGCGCTCGGTCGTTGACAACGTGCGACGTGCACGACTCTGAATCACCATAAATAGGTATCCACGACGATTTTCATCGATGCTCCGATTCCACGACGGACTCGATTATTCACTATTCGAAATTTCGCGTCCTGGTCGCAGGTTTCTTCTCCTTCTTCCTTCTTCCGGTGTTGGATGATCGTTGTCGTTGTCGTTGTTGTCGTCGTCGTCGTCGTCGTTGTCCCCGTTGGACGGCACGAGAGAACGAACGAAGAACGCGCGAACAGGAAAGGCAAAGGAAAGCAAAGAAACGAAAAAAAAAAAAAAGAAAACGATCGAGACGTGTATAACGCACTCCCGGTGTGTGTGTACGTGTAGGAGAATCTCGGTGAACAACGAGACGACGGTTTGCAGCGGGCACGAAACGCGCAGAACGTGATGAACGATCGGCGCGGAGCGATGGATCGGGCCGGTGAGATTTCGTGGAAAATGATCTAGCGCGACGTTCGATGATCGAGGAACGTTGGAAGATTTCCCTCGTTGACCAGCGATGAAGGATTCCGCGGCAAAGTATCCGGTATTATCTTGCGGGACGACACCATCGAGCGAAGGACCAGCTCCCTGCCGCTTCTTTGGGACACACCGGGGGACTACCTAGTCGTAGAGTGATTGGGAACGCGACTGGCCAAAGCACTTGATTCGCGCGCGGTTCGGTTTGCCCGTTGCTGCGCCTCTCCCGTGCAGTTTTTTCGGCGGTCTCGTGGTATGCGTGCATGCGCGTGCATGTATGCGTGCGCCCGCGCGCTCCCTGTGTGTGTCCCTCCGACTTTTTCTCTCTCTCTCCTGCCTCCTCGTTCTTCCTGTCCCTCTCTCGCTCTCCTCGCTTGTTACACAGCCGGCGTGTCTCTCTTTCTCTGCACGCGCGCGTACCGGCTTAGCTCGCGCGCTCTCGTATTCCCTCGTCCATACGTCTGAATTTCCGTAGGTGTGCACACGGGTACCTCTCGTCTTCTTCTTCTTCTTTTTCTTCTTCTACTTCTACTTCTTCTTCTTCTTCCTACTTCTTCTTCTTCTTTTCTACACGCGCGTTCGCCGCGTGTCCGTGTGCGCGTTCACGCGCGTCCTCTTCTCCGCGCGTGTTTGTCTACACACGCTGCGTGCTGATGATGACGGTGACGACGATCGGATAGTGCGTGGTGGAAGCGTGGTTGCGACGACGCGTAAATAAAAATTGCGTAGCGCGCGTGCGAGCGTGTCGTGCGTGCGTGCGTGCTCGCGTGGCTGTCGTTGTCGTCGCCGTTGTTATTGTTGTTGTTATTGTTATTGTTGTCGTCGCGTGGTGTTGTCGTTGTCTTCGTCGACGTCGTTGCGTGCCGGTGTCGTCGTCTCTCTAACACGCTCGCTTCGGAGTTTTCGCTCTCCTCCTCGTCGTCGTCGTCGTCGTTGTTGTCGTTGTCGTCGTCGTCGCCGTCGTCGTCGTCGCTGTCGTCGTCGTCGTCGTCGTCGTTGTCGGTGCCTGCCTGCCTGCTTTTGCCTGCCTGCCTGCCTGGCTGCCTGGCTGCGTGCGTGCGCGCCCTGGGTAGGCGAGGGTATAGTTACCGAAATGTTAACCTCGTGGAACCACTTTTTATTGAGTGTCGCAAAATTCATAGGAACCTCGCGGAAGCGAGGAGAGGGGCAGTGGCCCGCGTTCTCTCTCGCTCCCTCGATGCGTCCCTTTCTTTCTCTCGATTTTCTCTACGCTGGCGGGGTTAACGCGTGAGAGGGGCGGCAACCCCCACTTATGCCCCTGGCTCATGCCCCGCGCTACCCCTCCGACTATACTCGACTACCCTCCTCCTCCACAGCCATCTCTTCCTCCGCTCCCGCCGCCACCTTCTCCTCCTCCTCCTCCTCCTCCTCCTCCTCCTCCTCCTGTGCCTCTTCCTCCTGCTCCGAGCAGCCTGGTCCTCGCCAATTCTTTGGCCCCACCACTTCCTCGCTAGTGGTCCCCCAACCCTCGCTTTTGTCCCTCACTCACTCTTTCTCTCTCTCTCTCTCTCTCTCGGTGTGCCTCTTGCCCTCCTCGCAACTCCTCTTTCATGCAACTCTTCGTTCGTTCGTTCGTTCGTTCGTTCGTTCGTTCGTTCCCCTCACCCGTCTCTCGGAGTCTCGACCGTTCGCCTGGCCCTCCACGCCTCTGCCTCTTCGTCACTCAGCTTCGTTTCTCTCTTCGTCACCCCACACCCCGAGCCTCGACCCCTGGCCCACGTCTCTCTATCCGTGTCCGTTTCTCCGTCTTTTTCTCCCTTGCTTGCTTTTCGCACGCTTTTCCACTCGTTCTACTCGGCCAATGCTGCCTGCACCCTTCTCTCTAACCCTCTCTCTGTTCCGTTTCTTCCTCATCCTCCCTTTCCCCTTTCTCTCCCTACTATTCTCTGCACACCCTTCTTGCTCGCTCCGTCTCACTCTCTTTCTCTCTCTTTCTCTTTCTCTCGTCAGTCGTTGGTCTTCTTTTATCCCTGCTGCTCGCGCCAGGATATCTCTCACTCTCCCTTAAGCCTCTCTCTCTCTCTCTCTCTCTTACTCTCCAAGCTCACACCCTTCCTTCTTTCCCTCTCTTCGTTCTCTATCTCGAACCCTATCGCGGCATTTAGCCGTGCATAGCCGAATTCACGTACGGTTAACTGCTGCGTGTCGTACAGTCGTGGCGATTTTTCTATCCGCTGGCACGACACGACACGACACGACACGACGCGACGCGACGCGACACGACGCTTGCCCACGATCACGATGGTTTCGCTCGTTCAGTAAATGTTCCTCGGAGGCTGCTACGGATGCAGTCCATCCCTCTGCTCCCGCTGGAGAACGCGTCCGAATTCTCTTCAAGACACGAGTCGCTCGTCGAACCGAACAGGCTGACGCAACCGTTTCCACAGATGGATCTTTACCAGCGACAGTGGTGACGACTGTTCGTCGAACCTAAGGCTCGATCGGTTCACCTTGTAACTACGATGCAACTGTATCAATAGGCTGCGAGGTGTTTACCCTTGTTATTGACACTGTTACGTCGGTGTCGCAGCGATAACGCGCGAATGCAGATTCGCGGCCTTCGCTCGAATCGACGAAACGATCGACTGTCAACCGTTTTGGAGTTCAAGCTCCGCCACCACGGGAATTTATCGTTGAATTTTACTTGGCAATTTTTCAGCGACAAATTAAAATGACCGATGTAGTAATCGAGCATTGACCTTACGTTGCAAATGGGGGGGAACGAAGAAAAGGAAGAAGCTACAAGAGGCAAAATAATAAGAAAAGAAACGAACGGAAACAGCTCAATTCGTAATTCGGGTCGTTTGAAGACGACGATTAAATCGAGATTAAATCGTTCGCGCGGATTTTAAAAAAACATTCGAGATTAAAGATCTCGGAGAGAGGCTTCGGCAGAGGTGACATAAATTTACGTAATTCGCACCGGACGTGACTGTTGCCGAGTTCTGAGACACCGTGGATCGCTTTATCGCGCGAGGCAACTCGAATTTAGGCGGGCTAGTGGCTTTATCCGCGCGAGAATGCGCAGGAGAGGGCCCAGAAAGTCCGTGCTAAACCCGATCAACGCCGACCTCGATTACAAGAGCTCCTTTGCGGATGCGGCGAGGTCAACCGAGATACCTCCGCCGTTGAAACGCCCCGGTTGCAACCGTCGTCTCTCTATTCCCCTAGGATACGCACGCAGCTGTCGAACCGACGATCCTGCGGTTTCCTTCGTTCTAGCGTGGCTCCTAGGCAAAAATTCCGATGAAGACGTTCCCCCGAAAGCTGTCGTGGCAGCTCTTTGTCCACTCGGCTCGTCGACAGAATCGCCGGCAGGTGCTCCACGCCCGAGAGAGACCCACCGACTATCTCGAATTTCGTTTACGGGTCGATCCGCCTTCGAAAACGCGCGTCCAGTTGCGTCTTAAAGGCCAATTAATATCTTGCGGGTCATTAGCGAACTCCCGTTCGTCCGCCCTTAATTGACCGTCTTCTTCGATACCAGGCTGCGTGTACACACCATGAGCGAAAACACGTACTCGCTCTCGCGAATCTAATTGGCGGGTTAAGGCTTCGCGTCCGCTTCGAGGTTGAATGTTACTCGCACACCCGGTCGTGAAAAACTTGCCTCGTCGTCGTCGTAGTCGTCGTTGTTGTTGTTGTTGTTGTTGTTGTTGTTGTTGTTGTTGTATTCACCGTTGCAGTGCTCGTTAAGCTTCTCTCCTGTGCATCCCGTCTAGAACTAGTTTCTTAGATTCGGTCGTAATCCGTTCTATTCTTGAGGACGACAGAACACTGTTTTGTTTAAAATTATCAATGGCTCGTTTTCTTCGTCTCTTTTGGAACGAGCAAATCATTTCGTACGTACACGGTATTCTTTAGGAAAATATTCTTTCCAACAAGTAGCGTCACTAAATTGGTGAAAAACCAATGTATCGATTTCTCTTCGAGCGTGTATGCAAATACTCTTAGTGGTCTTTCTATTTTTGTACCCGTGTGTTGTTGCATCTTAGAGTTCGTCTCTGTAGAAAATAGAAAGTTTGCAGAAAACTCTACAATCTACGATCTGTCGATCGTAATCTATCGAACTACGAGTGCATAAAAATTCGCAATATAGCAATTTGTAGCTCGCATTATCTCAGAGCCAAGCAAAGGGCTCGTGTAAAGAGACAAATCTGCAAGAACTTTCGTGAAAGCAAGGCGGTCGTAAAAGCCTTTGTTTCAAATGAAAAATACTCGCGTGAAAGAATCGCGGAGCTGATGCATCAATTATTGGCTGGCCAGGAGGGTTAACACACGGAATCTAACAAATTTGTGCAATCGTCGCTCGATTACGACACCTTGCCGTTCTAAAACATTTGCAACGAAAGCTTCCTCTTCCTGTCACCCCTCCTCCGTTTTGTCCGGGTTAACGCGTGTGTGCTTTTCTACGTCTCGCGAAACGAAAAAGAAAAAAAGGAAAGAAACGAAGGAATGCGGCGTTCGTCGGTGTTTGCGCATGTGGCTGCGACCTGGAAAAGAAACGGCTCGTCGTCGATAAAAAGTTACCTCTGCATCGGGTAGATATGTATGCCATTTCTAAAAATACCATTTCTGAAATAGCATTTTCGGCCGCGCGTGCACGTACACGTTCGCAGAAATCGCTTGTGCATCGTTGCTCCCCGCGCTGTAGT